TGAGTCGGGGCTGACTCGACGGCAAATAACAACAACAACAACATTCTATATTTATAAGGTGACTTTTGAATTACGCTAATATTTTAAATAATTACAAGTAAAATTAATTTTTAACAAAAAGTAGTATCTGGAAATCAAATAAAATGAAAACATATTCATATAATGCTATGTCCAGCTGGTAGCACAACCACACAGAGAAGGATTATTCCAAGTGACTCTAAAACATAGTAATTTAATTATACATCCTGTTGTTGTTGTTATGTGCCATTGAGTCGGACCTGACTCACAGTGACCCCTACTTAGGTTTCCAAGGCAGTATCACTAGGGTAGGACAAACCTACCATAAGGATAAAACAAAACAAATTCAACTTAAAAAATTTAAACTGTTTTCAGTAAATATACCATTAACATGGGTATTACTATTCTACTGTATGTATACTATGGGATAAATCATTAAGTTGCTGGTGTTAAGCATTGAGTTTTTTGGGTATGGTTGAAAGAAGACACAGATTTAAGATTAATGTGCTTAGAATTTGAATTGGAAGTGTTAGTATAAAGTCATGGTGTGTTTTATCTTTAAATTTAAAACACATGCACACACATATATACACATACATAGAGGCACATATATTTCTTAGCTCAGTCCACTGAAAAGTCCATGTCTAGCATTCAGTTTGTAGTCTTTAACTACCATTTCCACTAAATAGAACTAGGGTTCCTTGGAGAAATGGCTGAATAAAGGTCTGAAACAGGATTAGATGAGCCTGGAACATCTTGGCCAATAAGATAATAAAAAAGAGAACTAAGCCTATTGGGGTCATGTCAAAAGGATTCAGGAGCCAACCTGAATAAGCACCCAATAGCCATAGATGGGAAAATTTGTGCATCAGTTCAGATAATTACTTCAATGTTTTGAAACAAATCAAATATACTAAATATATGATTTATAATAACACTCAAAACAAACAACTCATTGCTCATCTTACAATATTAGAAAATTACTCTATTTTTGAAAAATCGTGAATGAAGGGAAAAAATCAAGTACTTATCTTGATTTTCTAAATACTCTGTACCTTCAGGATAACCCAGCAATTGATATGGAAAAGTTTCTCTTTACGGATATGTTCAAGATAACAAATAAAAAGGAATAACAATATTAGTCACTATTTAACAACTCTGAAGAATTAACTGAGGAGTCCTGGTGGCTCAGCAGTTAAGTGCTCAACTGCTAACTGAAAAGTTGATGGTTCAAACCCACCAAAAGCTCTCTGGGAAAAAAGATCTGGCAATCCACTCCCATAAAGATCAGAGCATAGGAAACCACATGAGATAGTTCTACTCTGTCCTATAAGGTCACTATAAGACAGGATCAACTTAACAGCACACAACAATGATGAATTAATCAATCTCGGCAATGATCATCAATGGCTGCTAAACAACATCCAGACTATGTACTTCTTGATGTAAACAAAAACTATACCACTTTATAAAACATACAAGGGACAGAAGAGCATGTTAAATGACACCACACAGAGATGTAGGCGACTCTACAGGACAAACCACCCAGTAAACTGCAAAAAAAGAGAGAAAGAAGGAAAACCTACCGATTAAAAGATTTAACAGACATATCAACTAAGTCTTTGCCTTTTAAAAATGTACATTTCAATATTTATAAATGAAATATCTAGGTATCTGTGATATCTATCTATATGATTTCTATCAGATTCCAAAATAACCTGAGCAGGAGGGATATTAACAAAAAACTCATTTGCCATCACGTCAATTCTGACTCATAATGACCCTACAGGACAGAGGAGAACTGCCTCAAAGGGTTTCCAAGGCTGTGATCTTTATGGAAGCAGACTGCCTCATCTTTCTCCCATGGAGCAGCTGGTAGGTTTGAACTGTCAACCTTTCGATTAGCAGCCAAACACTTAACCACTGTGCCACAAGAACTCCTACGAGGAGTATAGATGAATTTTACTGATCATGATAAATTCTGAAGTTTGATGAGATATATATACTCTCTACTTCTGAGTATGTTTGAAGTGTCCAGATTTCAAACATTAAAAGAACAAAAACATAAGAGCCTTCATGCTTTTCCCATCATCTGACCTTTAGAATCATTCCAAAGGACACAGAATCCATACATACCATTATTTTTATCAGAGCGCTGGGGGTGGCTATTGACTGGATTGGGTTCTCCATGTGTCGCCCAACGGGTATGCGCTATTCCCAGGTGTACATCAAATTCTATATCCAAGTCCATATCTTGTTGTTCTGAAGGAGATAAAATGAAAAATTCCAATATTAAATTATGCTGTAGAGATAATGCTATAAGATATATTTAAATATAATTATTACTATACTGTTCAAATGGAATACAATTATTGGAAGTGCAAATCAGGCATATTCAATATATTAATTAAAAGACATTTTTGTTAAAGACATATATTTGTTAATGTAGGTGAAATATTTAAGTAAAAATGATTCTAATAACAACCACCAAAAACAAGGTAGAGAGAAAGAAAAAAAAAGTGACAAAACGCTAACAATTAGTAAAGCTAGGTGAAGTGCAAAGGGGTAATAAGGGTACTAATCTTTTAATTTTCCTGAAATTTTTAAAATTTCCAAACTTAAGAACAGAATCAATAAAAAAAAGTCTACATTTAATCCTTGCTTTGAATAAATGACTATCATTTTAATTAGACATGTAAAGGTAAATTAATTTTCTCAATACCACACAATCTTATGACTACAATTTCTTTGGTCCCCGATATTTCTCACAACATAAACCGGAATTATGGAGAGCTTCTAGAATCAAAGACTAGACTTTGAGCAATGCTATGAAGTATGGGGTTACTATGGAATAAGAAGGCTGTTGCTCCTTTATCTTGAAAAAAAAAGTAACTGAAAACAGCTATTCCAATCCCTAGTCCCTAAAAATTAATTCTTCTTGCTTCTTCCAGAAAAAAAAAAAAAAAAAAGATAGCTCTAGTTATTAACGGGCAATGCCCCACTCCCAATTTCCTAAATATGAAAATCATTTGGCCAGGAAACCCCAGTTGGCTAAGAAACTGGATCACAATGCTTTCTAGAATTAGGTCTACATTAAAAGCAGATTCCTCAGGAGTCTGAATAGGAAAGTCCATGAAATTTAGCACACAGTCCTTATGGTTTGTATACTGGCTAATCAGAGGTCATTCTAAAACACAAATCTGACTCAGGAATAATGCTTAAAATTCTTGAATAGATTTCCACTGCTTCCAAAAGTGGTATGCAACCCTACCTGCACATTTGAATGATCCTAAACCTGGGCATAGGGATTTGTAAACAGTTCCTCGCAATTCTAATATAAAACCAGAGAACCATTTTCTACCAAGACAAACTCCAATACCTTTTCATGCCATACAAGGCCTGTCTATCTCTGGCCCCACCTAGCTTTCCATCCTTATCTTACACACCTCTCCAATTATTTCTCAAAGTTCTCAATGCAACTTTTACCAATAGCACCTAACATGTCCTGAGAACTTACTTGGTGCCAGGTACTATCACTATGGCTCAGGCTATCATCATCTCTCCCCAGACTATTTCAACAGAATCCTTGTGTCCAATCGTCCCTCCTAACAATGTAGTCTTTGCACACTAGTGACAATAATCCTTTTTCTGAAAGGTTAGATCATGTCCCTCCCCTGCTGTGGTAGTTAACTTTGTGTGTCAACTTGGCTAGGCCTGGCTGAGTGGCTGGCAGCTGGATGTAGCTATTCCCCATGGGAAGATTGGTAATTAGCTCCATGGTGGATGTATTAGAGCAGATGAGTAGCTGCTTTAGGGATGTGGCACGCTTGGACCCTGCATGTAGCTGTGTCGTTCAGCAACCTGACATCTCTGCCGACCTTAAGACTTTCAACGGACTTGAATTAATGGCCTGCCATGTGGTTTGGTAACATTGGGACTGTGCCTTTTTACCTGTCAACCTTGGGCTTGTCAGTCTCAGCAGCCAGCAGCTGTCTGAGTGAAGAAAAGCCTTTAGCTCTGGTGGCATGGGAGCAGGAGACAGAGCTGAACCCTAAGGTTGAGGGGCTTTCACCCAGCCCCTAGAGCCTGGCACTTTGAACTTGGACTTAGAGCCACCAAACTGTAAGAGAAAAAATTCCTGTTTGTTCAAACCTTCCCATTTGTGGTATATTCCTATCAGAGTGGCACTAGGTGAACAGAACAGAATATGGTACTGAGAGAGTGGGGTGCTGCTCTGACAGAAACCTAAAGTGTGGAAACAGGAGTGGAATGCGTCCTTGACCCAAGACCCTGGCAGAGAGACCCTGGCACACGGCATGAGAGACGGCAGGAGCAGAGCCCAGAGACTGGCATGAGAGACGGCAGGAGTAGAGCCGAGACCAGAATGAGACAGTGACAGCCTTACTAGCCCACAAAGGATAAAGGTGGATGCCACTGTGCAGGCAGCTTCCTGGTGGAGTGGGTTGCCTTCGGGTGTTAACTGGTAGAAGAAACCAGCATGAAACGGGAGTAGCAGGTTGGACAGCCCATGGAGCAAGAAAGCCAAGTGTCCTTTGGGGCAGAAAGATTCCTGGCGGAGTGGGTTGCCTTCGGGCATTAATTGGCAGAAGCGGAGAGACCAAGGAAACGGGAAGGAGAGCTGTCTCAGCCTCAAAGGGTAGGACCATGGCCTTTGGGGGTGGAACCACCATAGACCCCTAGGTTTCAAAGAGCCAGACCTTCACCAACTTGGTTCTGGTGTGTGGGGCTGCTCAGTCATGTGAGCCAGTGGGATGGAGCCACAACTGCTGCCCAAGAGTGAGGGGGCAGGGCTGCCATGCCCAAGAGGGAGAGGAACGGGCCCCGCCAGGCCAAGGGGGTGAGGTTGCCACTTAGAGGCACTAGGGGACTGGAGCCACCCAGTGAGAGAGATCTGTACAGATTCCACCCAATGAAGATCTGCACAGGTGCCAAGTTGACAAGGGGTGGAATTGTGGTAGTTAAGTTTGTGTCAACTTGGCTAGACCTGGCTGTGTGGCTGGGCAGCTGGATGTAGTTATTCCTCATGTTAAGACTGGTAATTAACCAGTAATTGGTTAATTTACTGGTAATTAACTCCATGGTGGAATGTATTGGAGCAGCTGAGAAGCTGCTTTGGCTACATAGTCTGCTTTCCACATAGAAGCAGCAGCTTTGGGAATGGTCTCAGCTTATGGCACACTTGAACCCTGCCTGTAGCCGTGTCATTGTTCAGCAGCCTGGCATGCTCTGCTGACCTTAAGACTTTCAATGGACTTGAATTAATGGCCTGCTATGTAGTTTGGTAACATAAGGACTATGCCTTTTTACTTGTCAACCTTGGGCTTGTCAGTCTCAGCAGCCAGCAGCTGTCTGAGTGAAGAAAAGCCTCTAGCTCCAGTGGGCCAGGAGAAGGAGTCAGAGCTGCACCCCAAGGTTGAGGGGCTTTCACCCAGCCCCTAGAGCTTGGCACTTTAAACTCAGACTTAAAGCCTCCAAACTGTAAGAGAATAAATTCCCGTTTCTTCAAGCCATCCCATTTGTGGTATATTCCTGCCGGAGTGGCACTAGGTAACCAGAACACCTACATAAAATCTTCCAGTGGCTTTACATCAGAGTCAAATCTGTCATCCTTAAGACCCTACATACTCCACTCCTCAGCCACCTCTCTAGCCTCATCTCCTGCCACTCTCCCCCTTACTGTGCTCCAACCCCACTGACCTTCAGCCATAAGCATGCTAAGCCCACTGTGGTGGTTAAGTTTGTGTGTCAACTTGGCTAGGCCTGGTTGAGTGGCTGGGCAGCTGGATGTAGTTAGTATTCCCCATAATGAGACTGGTAATCAGCTCCATGGTGGAATCTACCGTGAGCAGCCGAGTAGCTGCCTTTGGTTATGTGGTCTGTTTCCCACATATAAGAAACAGCTTTGGGAATGGGCTCTAGCTTATGGCACGCTTGGACCCTGCATGTAGCCATGTCATTGTTTAGCAGCCTGCCATGCTCTGCCGACCTTGGGACTTACAATGGACTTGAATTAATAGCCTGCTGTGTGGTTTGGTAACATTGGGACTGTGCCATTTTATTTGTCATCTTTGGGCTTGTTAGCCTCAACAGCCAGTAGCTGCCTGAGTGAAGAGATGCCTCTAATTCAGTGGGCTAGGAGCAAGAGGCAGAGCTAAAGCCCAAGATCGAGGGGCTTTCACCCAGCCCCTACAGTCTGGCACTTTAAACACGGACTTCTAGTCTCCCGAACTGTAAGAAAACAAACTCCTGTTTGTGAAGGCCATCCCATTTGTGGTATATTCTTATCAGAATGGTACTAGGTAACCAGACCACCCACTTAGGGTCTTTGTAATTAAGTGTTTCTTCTAACTAGAATTCTCTCCTTGAGATAATGACCCCAGTCTCTGTTCAACCATCACCTCTACAACACTATTTTTTCACAGCACTAATGACTACCCAACCTTATATATTTGTTTACTTATTGTCTGCCCCTTCTAACTAGACAGTAAACTCCAATCAGGACAGAAAATCTATCTTGTTCTCTAGTGTATCTCTAGGGCCTGAAACAGTGCCTGGTATAAAATACCCAAAACCAAACCCACTGTCATCAAGTCAATTCCACACACTATCTGTGATAATCAAGGTGTATGTTAACTTAGCTGGACCATGATTCTAAATGGTTAAAGCAGTTGTGATGTAGTCATCCCCGATGATGAGATCTGATGTAATGCAATCACCCCCATGATGAGATGTTCTATGAGTAGCCACTCAGTTGAAAGGGAGATTCCTTAGAGGTGTGGACTGCTTCCAGCATATATATATCATATATATGTGTGTGTGTGTGTGTGTGTGTATCATATATGTATGTATGTATATACATACATATATATAAAAA